GCTGTGGTTGCCTTTAGTCACCAGGCAACTAAGATGTTGCTGCAGCGGAGTGTGAGCAGACAGCACAAGTCTAGCACATTTGTGTCAGTGGTGGGTGCAGCTGCATCCCGATATGCCCCGGCTTTGCAAGGATAGCCCGTTGCCTCACAGTGTATGAGCGGGGCAAATTTACTCGCCGAGTCCATATCCATGGCTATTTGAGGGAACGAGCGGCACATATCATTGGCATTGGCGCCTTCAGCATGGTCGGTTCACCGGGCCGGGGCCCATGACTTGAAGCACCTCCAGGGCTTTAAGAGCTTCTGGCTGACTTGGGTTGACCTACTTTGGCCCTAAGCCAACGGGCGGGGGGATGGCTTGGACATGTTTCGAGAGGAAATCTGGTGCAAGTCTTCTTATGTTTGTTTGGTTTTTAAAGCAAAAGTCTAGGAACCCTGAAGCCGTGGCATCCGTTTTTCTCCAGCGCCAGATGCTGAGCTTCCGCTGCTCGCGCCGGCTCAGTCAACCCGAACTGAGCCGTCGCGCTGTCAGATTGTCAGATGGGCCCACCTTAGGGCTCGGCGGTTGCAGATTTCTGCCAACTCGATCGTCTATTTTTGATGGGTGCTCCTTTGGGCCTTTTCAAGGGAAGCATCTTCTTTGAGACACACCTATGACGTCTAGCTGTCCAACTTTGTGAACGCCGTACCTGAGCATCACACACTTGAGTTGGGTAGGTAGCCTTGCCCCAGAAAATTCACGTGGTGCCTTGTCTGTCAGATGTTACATCGGAGCTGCTTACAGATGCTCCGAATTCGCTTCCTGGGAGTTCTGCTTGCGCTCAGATATATGATGTATGCGTTTAGCAACATCAGGCAATCCCGGGAAGGACAGTGCCACTTCTCATTTTTGAGCACAACTCCGCGAGCCAAACCGGGCATCCCCACACATGCTCGCCAAGACAAAGAGTGCGTGCGCTACCACATGTTGCAAGTGCGACCCTGCAGCCCTGCCACTGTGCGATATTGCCTTGCGACTTCTCAACACGAAGCTTGGCCAACTGCTGGTGAAAGGACGTGAGCTACCACCAAAAGGGTCGGAGCAAGAGATATAGATTGGAGTGGAATAGGGTCCAACACCCCTAAAACAAAGGCGAGTCTTTAAAACGAAGGCTTTTTGATTGTGAGCAGTCTGCTCAGCCAATAAATTGTTGGCATTCCTAGCATTTTTGGCTTTGAGTGCGGTATTTTTAGATCCGCGTCGGTTTACGATTTGCGAGGAGGTTCGGTACGGCTCGGGCTCGTTCGCGCGTGTCCTGATGCATTCGCTTGTGTGTGGAGCACTTGTAAAGTATGGTAGCCAGGTTGCCGCTGCCGTTGTGGCTCTAGCTCAGACAGAGCGCTCCTGACTTGACCGTTCGAAAAGCCTTGGTTCTAAGAGCCTTGGAAGAAAGCTGGGCGCGAGCTGGCGCGAAAAACGCAGGCATGGCCGCTTTCGGAGGCAAACTTTTCGCTGGTCTGAGAGGAGCTGTTGTATCCTTTCCCAATGGCATGAGAAGAACTGTCGCGCATCACGCTCACGAACGGACAAACGGCGTCAAAAACGAAGGCGGGTCTTTAAAACGAAGGCTTGAGAGATATTCAAGCTTCGCGCATAAGGGTTCACGGCGGCAGCTCACGTGGCTTGCAGAGGTGCCTATATGCTTGCGCATGAAGCATGTGAGATTTCATGGCCAACTTATGATGCTTCATGAAACGGATAACCTCGTGCACAGAATTCCCTGCATGCTTTGACCTAAGGCATTGCCCAACTTGTCGGCTAGCTTCCGACAGAGGGCACCACCTGCACACCAAACGTATGATCTCCCCAAGCACCTGGGGTTCATCAAAGAGTCCTTGCATGGAGTTTTAAAGGGTCCTTGCATGGAGTTCGATTTGCAGATCCCACTCCTTTTTAGACAGGGAGATTCCCAGCCCTAAAATCGAATAGGGGGGAAGGGGGTGCGTCCTCGTTAACCTTTTGCTTGTTTACTGGCTTTGGACAAGGTTGTCCACGTCATACAAAATGCAAGCGGGTGTATCTTTTTGTAGGCTACCCGAAAATTGTGGTTTTCCTTCTTGTGTGACAGCCCCGCGTTACAAAGAGATGTGCAGCACCTTTACTTGTATCCTTGATTCCCTGCCTGTGCTGGTGCAAACCAAGCCGTTTGCCGGGCTATTTCGGAACAGGTTTCGAGAAAGACCAGCGAAAGCCCATGGAGCTTGCTGCAAGGTTCCACACGTTGGGCCCAGGATGGAGCAGCCTCGGCAAGCGCAAACGGGTTTCATTTAACCCGCAAGTGTGCTGCGAGGCGTTGTTAGCTCCCAGAGAACGCGCTGCCAACAAAGGGGCGCGGCGATGGAGTCGCGAAAGATTCACGAAGTGGAGATGTTGCACATTGCCTTGTCCGGAAAACGGAATATTGATCAGCCATTCCGGGTGTTTGAATTGTTTTTGCATGTGATTGTTGCTTCAGAACATGCCAGGAGCCATTATCCATTATGAGGCATAGATCAGAGCACAGGGAGTGTTATGAAGTATCAGAAGGGCTATAGCCTCCTTGCCTTGCCGAGGCACCTAGTTCATCGCCCAGGGCAGGCGGGATGCCAAACATGAAGTCAGAGATTGAGAAATGCTGAGAATACAAGCAGCCAGGAGTACCCGCGTCGTTCTGCAGGATCTTCAGCCTTTTCCCTTTGCAACATCCCAACTATTTCCCCGCAAAGTGCTTTTCAACATGCCTGCAAGAGGTGCCAACTGCGGAAAGCGCAATTTAAGATGGGCATGCACACGTTTATAAATACCCGACGTGCACGTGGTACAGGGTCCCATGTTTCCCTTGTTCCGATCGCCGAGCGAACATTGCCTGCTGGCATCGTCATGAACCTCTTGAGCCAAAAGGGTTTTTGTTCACTTTTCAACAAGATCGACAAGCATCGGGTATGGGTACGCGCCAGCGCGCTTGCGGAATTTGTTCGTCGGCCGGGGGTTGTTTTACGTTGCGAGTTGTTCATTTCGCGCGTTGTTGCACGGAGAGGTTTGGAGTGGCATTGAAGGGATTGTGTTTTTTTGTCGTCTCAATTTCGGGGCGGCGGTTCCTCCACACAAACCGAAAGTAGCGCTCAAACCATGAACCCTTGATGATCATGCTGCAGGTGCTGCCACGTGGGCGGCCCAGCTATTTCGTTTGTTGCCGTTCTCGGATTGCAATGGCATCCTCACAGCGTTTGTGCGGAACAAATGTTTTTGGTTTGCCAGCCGGTGAGCAGACAAAGTTGTGCTCACCGGTTCTATGGACATCGTTCTCAACAATGTTCTGATTCAGTCGCAGCTTGGGACGAAGACAAGTGTCATCAAGTGTCATAGACCAAAAGGAGCTTGCCAAGCTGAAGTGAGGCCACAACTTTGAGGTGACTGATGGTTGAATAGTTTTGCCATTGGATTGCGGCCAGCCTGTGGCTTCAAGATAGCTGAGAGTTCATCACAATCGACAAGGCTGATTTGTTGAAGCGTGCCCTCCGCTTGCATCAATTGAGAGAAGGCAGGCGCTGCAACTGTGCGGCCTGAGGGAGCCATATCATAGGGACCCACCAATTTTCATGTTGATATAGGGTAGCCTTCAACTGCCTGCTCCAACTCCAACTGCCTGTGCCGAGCACGTTGGTGACACTGAGATCCTGGTGCTTGGGTCAAGCAGTTGGCACCCGAAAACTGCATCCCTACTTGCACCAAGGCCATCCGGCGGAGGCACGTGCCTGGAGAGAGCCTTGCGCAGTGGGAGAAATGCGAAAGTTCACAAATGCTCGTAGTGTTTCCACGGATTGAGCCGCTTGCGCAGTTGCTGGGAGTTGCTGGTGTGATGGCATGGGTTGGGACACATGTTGCTATTTAACCCCCGTGAAGTGACCAGAGCCTGGCCAGCGCCCTCCGCCAATCCAAGCAACGTTTCCCCGGAGGCCTCGTCTCAGGGCCGTCGCCACGTGCAGAAGCTGCCCTCTTGCGCTTGCTGGATGCTGAGCGGCAAATACTTCTGGGCCCAAGAGGTGTTTGGCGGTCCCTGGTCAGAGTAACAACTAAGACGCGGCTGAGACATGGGCTCCAAGAAGGACTGGAGGACTGGACATATGCAGGCCTCAAAGCCCATCCAAGCAGGGTCTGTTCAGAGCACAACTTGCGGAGCATTGGCAAGTGGCTGGCTCTTGCTTTGCGCTACATGTAGGTGGTTTGAAGACAGGCTTCTGTGCCCTTGCTTTGCATGAAGAGACGTTTGAAGTGCCATCCGTCATGGTGACTTAATCCGCATGTCTTTTCAGCCGGGAGCCACGGGACGGCCCCAGGTCGCAACATTTGCTGGGCCGCCCGCGAGCTGGGGCCTGAAAGTGGACAAGCTAAAATCGGAAGCTTCCATTCGTTCCGTGCATTTCTTGGACAGAGCGATTCTCAATTTTCGGATTGTCCTGGAGGACCCTTTGATACACAAAAAAGTGCTCCGGACAGTTTTTGGCATTTGAGGGCTTTTTTCTGCTCAAATTCTATTCGAGCACTTTTTGAGGTTGCCTAGATGCTTGGTGAAGTGCTCGAGAGAAAACATAACCGCAACTCGAGCGCATTTTCCCGCTACTCGGGCGCAATTTTCCGCAACTCGGGCGCAATTCCAAAAAGTGTGTCTGTGCGTTGCATGTGTTTGCATTTACCATTTCTTGCGCACTTATTTGCCACGAAAGCTCGAGCAAACATTTGCGTATCAATGGGTCCTGCAGGGCTATTTTTTGGGGGGATTAACATCAGCCTCAATTACTAGGCCTCGCCGGAGGCACCTAGCATGAGACACCTGATGCCGGCTTTGATCCAAAACAACACCAACATCAACGCGTCTTGACCATCCCTTGCAACGCGCACTGTCTGGCTCAAAGGTCACAACGCCTGTCGAGCTTTCAACAGTTTCCAGCAATCTTGCCTTGCCACCAAGCCAGCAAAATAGACATACTGAAAGACTTGACGACTGGCTGGTGCGATGGCAGCCCCTGACCTGCATTTGGCGGAGGAGGAGGAGGCCATACTGAAGGAGCTGCAGCAGATGCTGCGGCTCAACTTGAGTAACATCGAGAGAACCAGCTCGCAGCCAGCCCAGATCATGCCCCATTTGTTCCTCGGAGACCGTGACCATGCAGTGAACATCAAGGTCTTGCAGAGCCTTGGCATCACCCATGTGCTGAACTGTGCCGGTGCCACTGTGCGTACTGGGCAGGATTTCTATAGGCCCTTCGGTATTGGGTATACCGAGTTTGTGGCCCAAGATGAGCAGGGCTACAACATTATGCAACATTATGATCTCCTGGCTGGCTTGGCAAATTCCGTGGCCGCCGAGAAGGGCCGTTTGTTTGTGCACTGCGAAGCCGGCGTGAATCGGTCTGGCTCCCTGTGCGTTGCTTATCACGCGGCCGGCTCTGGGAACTTGCTGGAGAGTGCGCGCCATTGCAAGGCTCAGCGGGGTCGCATTTGCACCAACCCCGCTTTCCAGCTCCAGGTCTTCAACTTTGCCCGGCAGCAGAAGCTTCTCCGGCCCTAGAGGGTTTCATCGGCTTCTGTATAAAAGAGCGGAACTGACCTTCACATGCACGACAGCATCGCATTGCATGATTAGGTTAAGCACGATGGAGGATCAGCAACCGTTCACGGGTTGGCTGATGGCATCACGCAGCAGGGCAATCATTGTTCGTCAGGGTCCTGCTCCATCCTGCTCCCCAAGTACTTTGTCATACTTTGTTTTTCCTGACTGGGCAGGGTCGCCATGTTGCCAACAGCCGATGAAAGCACAGCCACGCTCTTCAGATCTTGGAATGGTGTATGTGTGTGTGTGCGTATGCGCAAGGAGTTGTTCTATCGCTCATGTAGTTTAGAAACCGTATTTCCACGACATCGTTGGCAGTAATTAGTTTTGAAGCGGGGCGCGCGAGACACAGAAGGAATGAACTGTACCTTCAACAATTAAAGGTCATGTTGAGTGTGCGAGCTTGGCTAGCTGCTGGCCAGCATCCACCTGCAGTTCACTTTGTTCGTCTCTTCACATATCCACAATGGACGACGAGGAAAGGCACGGAAGGTACGCAGAAAGCACAGCCGCCTGCCAACAAACCCTCCAAAGTTAAGCTATCCCAAGCTGTCCCACCCCAGTGCTGTGCCCAGGGCACTTGCATTTCCCAAACAACTGGCTGGGTCAAAACCAATGGTACCATTTTGGGGTAGGTGCACCACCCATTTTAGTCTATTTTAGTGGGGATCGGGATCTTCACTGGGGGTACAGGCTTTTGACCCATGGCATGAGTTGCTTTGCCTTCAGCTTGCGAGTCCAAACTTGAAGCCGATGACTTCGCACCATGCTTCACGACCCCCGCGTGCGCGGTTCGCGGAGGGTTGCGGTTTTCAGCCCTCGGAGTTGCTGAGGCGCCGGGCCCTGGAGTTGACGCGCGGCGCTCAGATGGTCAGTGCTGGGTTGTTTGTTTCTTCCGCTTCTCGACGGAGGAAATGGGATCGATGGTTTTGATCCATAGATTTAGCCTGAGGGAAGTTCCTGGAAACCATTGTTTGGGTAGTCTTTCAGGAATTTACTTTGCAATGTTTCAATCATTGACCAAGCTCCTCAGATTGACTCGGAAGGACGCCGTCGCAAGACGTGCATGCGTGCGTGGGTGGGTGGGTGCGCGCGTGCGTGCGTGCGTGCCTGCTTTCTTTTTTGCTCTCCGTTGGTGTTTCTTGTGCTGCCTGGCACCCTGCCCATCACCCCTCTTTTTTTTTTTTTTCGATCTCTCTCTCTCCCTCTCTCTGTTTTTTGTCTCGACTTATATGTGTGGTGCTGGTCGTTCCAAGGCAGTGGTTCGAGACAATGGCGTCCCTGGCTTTCTTGGTGTATGCTTCGACACTCATAAAACCCGAACGGCTCTCACGACTTCCGAGAGCGTTTTGGTCCCAGGCTGATGGTGTCTGTATCTAAGTCTTATTTTCGGCACGCCCCACAAATTGATTTGAGAGTCGTCCGAAAGGTCCTTGTATTGAGCTATGAAGGGGAAGACCTTTTCGTCTTAGCGTTGACCTCCGCGAAAGTTCAGACAACCGTCATTTGCTGATTTGTACACTCTTGTTCCCCAAACGCCCCATTGGCATTCAGCATAACTGCGATAGGCCTTCCACACGCAATGGTTGGGCGACTTGGCAAGGCTCTGAGATCCTCTTTTTGTTTCTAGCCTCTTTGGGATTTGTTCGTCAATGTAGTTCTTAACTTGATGAGCTTACATGATCTCAGACATATGATTCCCTTCCACCAACTGACGTGGAACCTGGCAGGCACCCGGTCCCTTTAAAAAGAAACCTGGTCTTCCAGGACCCCAGAACATCCGGTTCCATGTGTTAATTGGTGGGAGGGTGGTACATTTTTAGACCTCCCCCCACCGATTTGGGGCTGAATCGGAGGGCCAGGCCCCAGCCGTCGGCCCAGGTGCTGCGCCTCTTCGCGCGGAGCCCAGAGGTGGCCACGCTGGAGGAGGTCATGGAGGCAGTGAGCGCCCGGGCAGCCCAGCTCGGCAGTTCAGCAGTCGGCGGATCCGGGGGCCTGGCCGAAATATCCCCAACGCTGCCGAAATCGCCGCTCTTTTTGTTTGTCTCTTTTTTTGTTTTTTAGGAATCCACATCAGCATGAAAAGGGTGATAATTATTCAGTATGAAAAGGAGATCCAGTTGGACAAGGGTGATATTCTTGACAGGAGCGGACATCATGTGTTGCGCATCCCGTGGGCGGGATCTATGGAGAGGAGAACGAAGCGGCAATAATAGACAAGTGAATCCGAGCACATGTATAGACAGGAATGTTGGCTGGCTGCCTTTCGGGGATGAAGAAATGAACGGGGGATGACGATTTCGCCTCAAACCAAGGAGCAAGTCAGCAAATTGGATATGTCCAAGCACCAGCCGCTAAACATGTTTGGAATGGGCAGGCTTGCTTTTGTTTTGGCGGGAGTTTAACACAATTTGCCTATGCGGTTCGGTGAGTTTTTGTAGGATTTGTAAGGTTGGTGCGATGATTCACTTGGATGTGACTGGTTTGGCTCAGCTAGCAACAGCTCATATTATGTCAATCATCAGCTGTTCATGTGGTGTTGCATTGGCCGTGCTTGGTTCGAGGCATGCCTTTCCACGGGATCCGATCCTCGTCTGGTTTTTCACTGGGCCATTGATCCACAGGTCACCCCGTTGATGATGCTCAGGTCCTGCCTTTGGGCATCTCCCGTGCAGAAGTGCAACTCGCAGATGCCTCAGATTTTGTTGATGTCATAGGCCGCTGTAGTTGTTGCACTGAGTGGCAGAACGCCAGAGGTTGATCACACCACCTTCACTTTCAAACCACCAAAATAGCAGCCGGGAATTTCGGTGCAATTTGGTGCCAAAGGCGGCAAGTTCAACTGAATGCACCGTGTATTGTGGAAAGACCGGTTCATGGTCAGGCCTCAGAGTCCTGGTGGCTTGTGCTGCTGGGGCTGACCGGGGCGCTGGTGGTGTTCTTGGTTTTGCTGTTGGGTTGGTGGGCAGTTCCAAATGAAGGCAATCCGCTGGATCCAGTAGAAATTGGACATACCGTCAAATAATTTGACCGAAGTTGTTCTTACATTTTGCTTCCTTTTGCCTAGTGACCATTCTCAACCCCCCCCCCCCCCCACCCGAAACCCCGAAACCCGGTCCGCCGCCTCAGGTCTTCGGCCACATCCGGGGGTGCGGCCGTGGAGCCCAGCGAAAGACCCGAAGACTCACCGCGCCAGGGAAGGTTCCGGGATTGCCAGGTGGCTGTGGGTCAAAACCAATGGTACCTGGGTGAATTCACCACCCATTCTAGCCTGTTTAGTGGTTGGATTGGGATGTTCACGGTACGATTTGGATTTTGACCCATGGCCAGGTAAAAGCTTAAAATTACGCCCACGTCTAGACACTTAAGGGGGGTGGTGACGCTGGTGCCCCCGTGACTTTTAATGCAAAGCCAGTTTCTGGGCAAGACACCACCCCGGTTTTGAAGGTTGCGAAGGGGAAAAACTTCCGTTTGGAGACACCAAGTCTGGGTCTCTCGAAAATGCGCCCGGTTTGCTCCAATCAGCGCCTTGACAACCAGTTAGTTGTGGCAAGGGACCCCTTTGGGTGTCACAAGGATCGCCCTGGTTGATATCACTGGGTTATTTCCCGAACTCCGTCCTGTGTTTCAATGCCAGGCTTCCTTCCGAGTTTTTCAAAGAGAGATAGGGCAGAGCTTGCCACAAACTTGTGGTGGCCACTTGCGCTGGAAGCCCTGAACAGGCCCTGAAGTTTCTGAAGCCCACGGCAATTTCGGTTTGGGTCGACATCGGATGATAGGCACGGGCACCATGCCCTTGGCGCAGCTTGCCACGGCGGCAGAAGCCGCCTGCAACGCGGGGGCCAGGGCCCCGGGCTGACGGGGCACGGGTGAAAGATGGGCAGTGTGGAAGGTTTGCTTTTGGAGGCCTGATTGGTTCTGACGGGACCTTCGTTGTTTCTTTAAATGGGTAGAAGGAAGCCAACCATCCTATCATATCATATGATATGGCTCCACGGGGCTCAAGGAGGCCCCCATTTTTGAGGCAGATCCGATGTGGCTTGGGCTTGCTGAAAGAAGGATCAGCCTCAAAGTACGTGGGGAGGCTTTCTGTTTCAAGCATCTCATGCGTTATAGTCATGGACCTTGTGGATAAGAGTGTGGCAGTGTAGGCTGCCATGCCGGGGTACGTCACCGTCCGGCGTGCGATGAGTTTGGCCACAGCCTCGTTTTGCAACGTGTTCTTCAGGGAGGTGGGATTTCAGTGGTGGAAAGCAGACACAAACACGTTAATTTTGTAGGAGGCCTTGGTTTGCCGGGAAGGTACGTTTGACACATTCGCGTATTTAAGTGACACCGGCGCTCTTCAAGCGTGCGTGCTCGTTGTTTCGAGGCCGGCACTTTTTGCAGGGGCTGTTGCAATCATTATGTAATACGAAATGCGGCTCGAAATGATAACAACGATAACCCTTTTTAAAAATACTTTCACAGTGGAACTAGGAGGACATCAACTGTCCTGATACACGCACACACACACCCAACACAAAAGAAGATGGAAGTTGACAGGTGGCCTTGGAAGAGACTTGGGCCGGAAAACCTCAGAATCTGCGCACCGCTGGAGACCACTGGCAAGGGCCTTCTTGCGCGAGGTTTTTCTGCAGTTTTTGCTGGCCAGCCAAGCGCACTGGGTTCAGCACAGGCATTTCGGCACTGAAAGCTCTGAACAACTCAGTGCCCCAGGTGCCTCTAGAGGCAGCAGGCTTGGAATCCATGGTGTGGAAGCCCGGAGATCCTACCGGCTGGGCGCGCGCACTCGGCTTTCGGCACGCCGGTTAATGTGGCTTCCCTTGTTGTATGACACGGCCAGAAACGGCTTTTGCAGTTGGTTTGGAATCAACGGGCAAGCACCTTTTCCCCAGCATATTTGATCCCAGCTGTCAAATTGGTATGGGAGAAAGTAAAAAACCAGGCCTTTTGACGGTAGGCTTTCGCAGCAGAACATGGGATTGCATGTGTTTGTTGCTTTTTTTGGGAGTTGCGTGCTTTATGCTTCGCCTTTTTTCAGTTTTCGAGCACGTCTTGAGCCGTGAAGCCCTGCCTTGGCTCATAGTACCTCGCCTGGCATTGGCATTCTGCCAGTGGGTTACTGTAAACCCTGTTGCAGATCTACGAGCTACGTCCCCAATGCATGGCATGGACTGCATCACGCATACCAGCAAACAAGCAGACGTTCTATGAAGGCCAACAGATGAGATTTGATTCTAGAGTTTGTTCGCGTTGCTGCTGAGCAACTGATACTCGAGATGCACAGTGCACCAAGGTTCACCAGCTTTTGCATGCCCGGCCTAGGCAGTTGGGCAATGTATCAACACGCCGTGTTCGCAAGCTAATGCCACGACATATGAGCTACTTGATTCGGACGAAGAACGGTGCAAGTCAAATGCGGCTTTGGCAAACACCTTTGGCCTTCGGCCCTTTGACAAGTTCACTTCTGACTGCCTGCCATGTGGAAGCTGACGCCGTCAGCAGCTCGCTTTGCGAAGGGCTTGCGGCAGTATCATGTGGCTGTGGTGGGGAGTGGTCCAGCAGGCTTTTATACGTCCAAGTTTTTGCTTAAGAAGGACAGGGCTTGGTTTCTGCGCAGCCTCCAATCCTTGTGCGCTGCTTATGTGCCTGGTAGGTGCTGCAAAACCGCGGCCCTGATTGATTCCAGAATCATTCGCTTGGCCTTTGACATGTCCAGCCTTGTTTCTGCCTCTTGGGCATGGTGGGCAATTGTTGCACCTGCGCTCATGCAAAGAGGTCAGTTCTCGTAGGCAATACTTTCAGCATACATTTTGTGCTTTGCTTTGCTGTGAGCCAGCTGCTTTTGATCTTGCCCGGCTGATGCCAGAGTCTCCTGGTACCTGCATGTTGCTTTGTGTTGGTTTCATGCTGACTTCATGTTGGCATCTTGGGGTGGCTTTTCCCTGAAGGACGAGTCCATGAAGATCGACATGTTTGAGCGCTTGCCCACGCCCTTCGGCCTGGTGCGCTTTGGGGTGGCTCCGGACCATCCGGAGGCGACTGGCAACGCATCGGCATTCAGCATGGCCATGATATGAATCGGATAGCAAGGTATCGACGCAACTGTAGTTTATTAGCTTATTGAATTGGACTTGTAGTACTGACTTGTTGAGGGATGGAGCGACTGTTTCCATCCGCTTGGGCATGATGATTGGATAGGGGAGTCAGGCGAAGGCGACCCATTTTCGCTTACCGACTGCCTGATGCATCTAACTGACTCGCGCCTGGCTCGTGCACCCGCACGTCAAGCAGGTCCCCTCAGCTTGGGCAAACTGGTGCTCAATTTCCGGATATTCCACCCCATGTTGTTTTCGCCGGGACTGGATGGGTAGCTTCAGCCCCCCTCTCCTTCCCCCGGGTCTTTGGCAGGTGAAAAATGTGATCAACGACTTCACGGCCGTGGCCGCGGCCCCGAACTTCCGCTTCTTTGGCAACACGGAGATTGGCCCAGAGGTCCCACTGGAGCGACTGCGCCCCGGCGAAGTCGTAAGGAAGTCCAGCGTCACCCGCTTTGGTCTTGCGGTTGGTGTTCGTTTTGGATTGAGGCCACGCGGGCTAGATCAGGAGTTGCCATCTCGGCCAATTGGACGCATCACACCAACCAACTGGCCTCATTGGAGAGGTCAAGATGTTGGGTGTTTGAGGGTCTGGACTTTTGACATTGGGAAGTCGACGGGCGATGGCTATGTTGAAGCTGTTGAGTGTTTGGCACGGCTTGCACGATGATACGATGATTGGCATGGCAGATCAATTGATTTGCAACAAACGTGCAACTGCCCAGCCATTTTGGCTGATTGAGTGCTGTTAGAAGCCCCTTTTTTGAGCAATGGCGGTGAGGCGTGGGTCTGTTGGGGTGACTCTGGCCGTAGGCCTGGTACTCTTTGCCGCGAGCTGCGTGTGGAAGCACGCGGAGGTGGACTTCGTCAGTGCTGTGCAATCCAAGTCCCGGTCGGTGAAGGTGGCCAGATGTGCTGGGGACAAGGCGCTGAAGGACCGTGTGACTTCCATCGGCAAGACCAGCAAGCTCACAGATGCCATGCGCCTGGTGGCAGCCGCCAAGGTCCGGGCTGCCCAGAACGGCGTGGCCAAGAGTCGGCCCTTCAGCGATGAGCTGCTGGGCATGATCAAGGGCCTGGTGAAGCGATTGAAGGGCACTGGCCTGGAGGCTGACCTGCCAATGCTCCGCGTTCCGGAGAAGGTCAAGGAGGTTGGCATCCTCATGATGACCGCCAACCGAGGCCTTTGCGGTGCATACAACACCTTCGTGATCAAAAAGACCGGGGCCCGAATCGAAGATCTCAACAAGCAGGGCATCACCCCAAAGCTTCTGATTGTTGGAAAGAAGGGCCTCGCCGGCATGAAGACTCGTTTCCCCAAGGACATCAAGTACAACTACACCGAGGAGTGGTTCGCAATGCCGGACACCATCAAAGCCAAGGACTCAGCAGAGATTGCAGAGACGCTTGAGAATTACTTTCTCTCTGGCGAGGTGGACAAGATTGAGATCGCCTACGGCAAGTTTATCAACCTCATCAGCAACGAGCCCACCATCCGCACCCTGCTGCCCCTCTCACCAACTGGCATTGAAGATCCGGAAGATGAGACATTCAGGCTGACCACAGAGTCTGGCAAGCTCAAGGTGGAGAGGGAGAAGCAGAAGTCCCCCAAGGCGAAGGAAATTGAGGCAGATGTGATCTTCGACCAGCCCCCTGGGGTCATTTTGAACTCCATGCTGCCGCTCTACTTGAACTCCCAGATCTTGTCCCTGATGTTCGATGCTCAGGCCTCGGAGCTCTCATCTCGAATGTCTGCCATGAAGGCGGCCACAGACAACGCCAAGGAGCTCCAGAAGAAGCTGCTGGTCCTCTACAACAAGAAGCGCCAGGCGGCCATCACTGCGGAGATTTGCGAGCAGTCCGCAGCTGCCACAGCCCTGGAATCTGCCGATGTCAAGGGCAAGGCTGGCCCTGCCTTGGGGGTCGTGGACAACGAGAAGTCGGTGGCAGAGGACTTCATGAAGGAGTTGGACTCCGGAGATATTCCGGACGCGCCAGTCTCTGTGGACACCTTCGGCCCACTCACCCGCGCCGAGCTCAAGGATGCATGATGTCTTGAGCCCTATTGAAGCGTGATCTTCAAGAGGAATGGCCCAACACCGCTGGCTCTCAACCTTTGCCAGGTTTGATGAACCTCTTGTGATGCGTTTCTCCAATTTAGGTCACCGCAGACGCCGGCTTCACGGCGTTTTGTCATAGCAACGCTGAAGAGCCGCGTTCTTTTTCGCCAAAACAGCAAATGACCGAGTGGCGCTAGTGGATTGTGCCATGCTATGCCGATGGCCATCAATCGCTGCATTGGGCGTGCCGGCCACTGCATGTGGCCCTGAAGCTCCTCCCCATTACCCAGGAGGGCCCCTTTCAGCATGCATTGTGCTCCCGTTTGCTTTTGCATCCACTTTGGGGATGTGACCAAACGGTTCCTTTTTTAGGGAGGGCCCCGCAAAGCGGCTTCACCAGGAGGAAGCATGTTGTAGGCCCCCAGGCCCCCAGCCGAGGCGGCAGATCTACGACGCCGTGATCCTTTGCAGCGGCGCCAGCGGTGAGCGCCGCTTGGGCATCCCGGGGGAGGACGCCTTCGGCGTGGTGGGCGCGCCAGCCTTCGCCGCCAGGAAGAAATTGGAAGTCGGAAATTGAGGTCCCGCAGTTTTCGGGTTGCCATGAGTTGCCTATGGCTGTTGTCAGCAAAACAGGAACATGGGACATGTGTCACAGTTTGGAGTAACTTGTGTCTTGTATGTGTCGTGTACCGTTTCGCCTTGCTTCATTGCAAATAATGAGATTGATTGGATTAGATGTTCATACTTGTGCAATATTTGGCATGCATGGCATGCATGGAATGTGTTTTGAACATGATGTGTAACTCTCTTCGAGCTTGAGCTTGGAGGTTTGCTCACAGTGCATTGGTGTTGGGCTTGTTGTTTGTTTTCACCTTTGCCTCAGGTGAAATGGTACAACAGCCATCCAGATTACCAGGACGCTTGCATGCTGCCCACATTTGGCTGCCCAGTGATCCTTCTGAAATCCAACTTTCAAGTGTTGGGTAGAAGCGGAGCGCGGCAGATACCACGAACAGGCCAGAATCCTACTGGGTGAATTGTGACGACCTCCCACAACCTCACCCCAAATGGTGGTTTATGTTGGAAACTGCGCCCGAACCACCTTATTTCAGGCTGGTGAAGTATTTTAGTTCACCCAGATAGGGAGGTAACGAAGCGCCAGGCATATATGGCAGTTGCCGGCATCGAGCCCGAGGATTCGGTCATGAGCAACCGATCCCCATGTGGGTGGAAAAAAAAAACCCGCGCCTTTGAGTTTAGTATTCGGGCATCCCTTAGCTTTCAGGAGCATTGCAGAACAGTGCCACAACACTGTAAACCGATAAGGAGTAAAAAAAACGATAACCCCTAATTTGCATGTATATATGTATATACACATATGTATATCTGTTCATACCTGTATATATATATAAGATGCACACATATATGCATGTATGCAGGTAGCGGAATGTTTTGGTTGTGTGTTCATACCTGCGATTTGTGTGTTGGTCTGCTTCTTTCAGGGTCAGGGCTCTTTTCTTTGGGAAAGCGTGCTGGTACTTCACTGGCGCTGCGGGCGCCGTGGCGCGCGGCTGCTCGCCGCCTCAGCTGCGCCATCTAGATTTTACGTTGGGAAAGGGCTATTCAAGTTGCAAGCTTCTTACGGTTGCCTTTTTTTGATGTTTCGGGTCCCGTCCACACCGATAACGAAACCGATAACGCACCGATAACGAAAAAGCTTGCCTTCGGCTCAATCCTAGACAGGAGCCCATTTTTGGTTTCGTGGCCATGATCTGAACCATGGCTGCTGCAGCCGCAGCGGCCCTGCAAAAAGCTTTGCTAAGCAGCGAGCACAAGCTGGAGCCTTGAAAGTCAAACAGAAGTGCCCAACAAATGGGACTTGTCCAACACACTGTAAACCGATAAGGAGTAAAAAAAACCGATAACGTTCAATAGCGTTATAGTGTTTGGCCACGGGGTTTTTTTTTCACCCCATGTGGATCCTGCCCTTTTGCCTGGCAACCATTGGCCCATGCAGTTCCCGGTGTATCTAAGACCATGCAACATGAAAAAAGAAGAGACAATTGTAAATATTAGAATGACATGTGGATTGTAAAATATGGTTCTTTTTGTTTCGTTGCTGTTGATTCCTAGTACCTTGCCGGCACCTCAGTGCTTGCTCGTGTTTCGCAAGCTTCAGCCCGTGGCCAGGAGCTCCAGTTCAACCCCCCGGGTGAGGCCGCAGTGGTGGTGGGCCAAGGCAACGTCGCCTTGGACGTGGCGCGCTTGCTGCTGCGCTCCCCTCCGGACCTGCATGCCACCGACATGGACTCCAAAGCCGTGGAGGCGAGGTGGGGCCGCGAGTGTGCGGGTTCCCGCGCAACTTGGGGCATCAGCCGCACTCTTAATGGCTGACTTTGAAATTGAGGAGATTCATTTCCAGGCTTGGAGCACCCTCCTCATCGCCTCACAAAACGCAGCTGAATAGTTGGCTCACGGTGTTAGCGATTAGGACCAACACTCACGAAGCGGAACGCAATTGTGTGTTCATGTTTGCTTTGCCTCGGGGTGGCCAGCATAGACGCCGCGTCCGGTTTGATCACCATGTGATTTGAACGCCCTTGGCCAAAGGAAGTTGCGAAGGACCTGCCGCCGAAACAAGCAGGGTGTGTGGGTGATTTCGTGTGTCGTTGGCCTTTGAATTAGCGCTGTGTGCCGCTCTAGGATGGCTGTTGACAATCCTGTCCCGTCAAAATGACCAACAAGGGACAGGGATGGCTCAGCAAGGGCCGCGCCAGTAGAAGATAGCAACTTTTTCTGTTGAAGATCCGAGGCGATCACTGGCTGGCAAAAGGCGGGCTTGCGCACCGTGCACATTGTCGGCCGCCGCGGCTTTATTCAGGCGGGGCAAGCCCGGTGTCACAGCCAAGCCAAGTGGTGAAAGATGCATGCGCTCCAAGAAGTATGTGGTTGTGTGTGTGTGTGTGTGCCGAGGTCATTTTGTCGTTGGTCATGAAGAGGGTTGCAACAGCCTCTGACAGCGCTTGCCGCTGCACAACATGCAGCAACTGAGTGTAGCTGGCAGGACCCAGTTCTAGCACAATGCTATCCCTATTGTGACTAGTCCTCGTGCAGAGGCTTGTTACGAGCAGGCGCAGGCGAAAGGCGCCCCAAGCCTTGCCAACAACCCAGGCAGCGAATCCCGTCATGTCCACTTCAGAAGTCCGAATCCCATTTCATACCTCACCAGCAAACAGGGAAGTGGGTACAGCCCGTATGCTTGTGCGTTTGTTTGTGCTCAATTGAATGGCCAGAATATGGACATGGGTGGATTTACCAGCACTAGTTGGGATTTATGTTCATTTCGGTCGACGAGGCGGCTTTGCATCATGTTATACAATGTTCTAGATATATTTATTTAAATATATTACGTACACATAGATATAGGAGAAAAAGCTGAGGCATGGACGCCGCAGTCTGTTCCCTTTAGCCATCCTTTCTCAACCCTGTCCGCCCTCCTTTATCAGGTAAAGCGGAAATTGCAGCCATTCAGAAATCGGCTGGCTTGTCAAAGCGGAGGTTTCGAGAGGTGCTTCGACTTGGGGGTCTTGGCGGTTTCCCATAACACGCCAAAGGCGACGAGACGTTCTGCACCGAGAGGCGGCATTTACCAATGCGGAGCTGCGAGAGCTCTTGACTACGGATGGGCTGCTGCCTGTGGTGGACCCAGAGGCCGGCCTTTTTGCGCGCCAAAAGCGGAGTACCCCGTGTCTGGTTGTTTTACAGGAACACCTCGAGGAAAACCACCTTTTTTTTTTTTGGGGGGGGGTTCCCTCAAAAAGATACCCCGTTTATGAAGCAGAATCCGTTTTTTTGTTGTTGCACCAACCTCTCAAAATACAACAACACACCACAAGCGTGTTTCCACAAACGGGGGCCGGACCCCCTTCAAAGGAAAGCCAACAAGAGCCACCCATCTTTGGGCGCCTCCCATGATTGAAACCACACGGCCCAACTCTGCGTTGAGACACCCCCACATCGTGCTGATTGGTGCGTCTTGGCCTGTCACCCATCAATTTCAGGGGGCGAAGATGCTGCTTTGGAACCCTTGAATGATGCATGAATGATGCAAGCGAACCATTGATGATTTACCATTCGGGGGACGCAGTCCAAGTCCCGGGGTTCTAAAGGGAGAACCCTAGGGAATTGGAATGGCAGTGCCTTAGGGTCCCGGGTTTGCTATTTTCAGATGTGACTGTTTTGTTGTTGTCCTTTTCTGAATGCCACGTTTGGCATGAATCATGCCAATCCTTGGGCTTGATGAGGATGAGGCCCGGTTTTCCTTCATTTGGCCCACAACGTTGACAGAATATGCAGGTAGTTTACCTTTTAAGCCCTTGCTTGCCCTTGCTTGCCCTTGCTTGCCCTTGCTTGCCCTTGCTTGCCCTTGCTTGCCCTTGCTTGCCCTTGCTTGCCCTTGCTTGCCCTTGCTTGCCCTTGCTTGCCCTTGCTTGCCCTTGCTTGCCCTTGCTTGCCCTTGCTTGCCCTTGCTTGCCCTTGCTTGCCCTTGCTTGCCCTTGCTTGCCCTTGCTTGCCCTTTGCCCTTGCTTGCCCTTGCTTGCCCTTGCTTGCCCTTGCTTGCCCTTGCTTGCCCTTGCTTGCCCTTGCTTGCCCCTTGCTTGCCCTTGCTTGCCCTTGCTTGCCCTTGCTTGCCCTTGCTTGCCCTTGCTTGCCCTTGCTTGCCCTTGCTTGCCCTTGCTTGCCCTTGCTTGCCTTGCTTGCCCCTTGCCCTTGCTTGCCCTTGCTTGCCCTTGCTTGCCCTTGCTTGCCCTTGCTTGCCCTTGCTTGCCCTTGCTTGCCCTTGCTTGCCCTTGCTTGCCCTTGCTTGCCCTTGCTTGCCCTTGCTTGCCCTTGCTTGCCCTTGCTTGCCCTTGCTTGCCCTTGCTTGCCCTTGGTTGCCCTTGGTTGCCCTTGGTTGCCCTTGGTTGCCCTTGGTTGCCCTTGGTTGCCCTTGGTTTCCCTTTTTCCCCGGTGGTTTCATGTGGTTTCCCTTTTGCGGATGTTTGGGAGCCAGACGCAGGAGTTGGCGCTCTGCCGCAACGAAGCCTCGGAAGCCGAGCTGAAGAAGAGCCGCATGAAGCAGCGGTCCCTGGACATTTTGCCACTCGGACCTTGCCGAGCCACCGAGCCACTGGTCTTTGCCTCGTTTTGGCGGCCCCAGAACGGAGCTTTCGCTGAGAATGGCAAGTCTTCTAGCTGCATCAAGGGCGAAACATGGCAAGCTCAGCGATCGGAGTTCAAAGGAACTCGCCCATGGAGGTTGGTTTCATGAGTGTCCCTCATTTCTAGCCGAGCAATGAGTGCATGCTAGAGACGTGGCTGTTTGTGGGTCGATTCTGTGGCCGGCCCTTTGGTCACCCTTTGTAAACAGCGGGTATGCCCTTGGAAGTGACCCAGTTCACAAACGTGTGGCGGTTCTTCCATGTGAACCCTAGGCAGAAGATGGTGGCCAACTTCTCGGAGCTGGAAAGCACCAGCAAGCGGATCCTCCGCTTCCACTTCCTGAGGCGACGGGGAATTGGCCCTTTGGATGGCTTCACGTTGACTTTTCCCCGAAACTCGTTGAGCTGTCCATCTACCAAGCAAAGCAAGACATCATTACAAGGTTGGGGGGGCCTTGTTTTTTTTGGACATATCCACAGTTGATCCCACACCCAAACTTCGAAACTTGCCGGTCAGAAGCAGACATACTCACCATAGATAGAGGCGTTGCTCTTGTGATTATTTATCTGGTTTGGACTTGATGGCAATCGTGCCAAACAATTTGTTGAACCCAGCAAGCATTGAACAGGGAATCTCAGAACACACTTTTGTTGCTTCCAGTTGTAAGGATCGAGCTTGAGGCATCAGCTCCATGGACATCCACCATATTAGTTAGCGGTTTCCATCCTTGAGGGGGATGGCCTTTGGTCGGATTTGCCGCGACGCAACACTTTGAGTCAGTCATGGGTGTTTGACCTGGCTACCACCGAAACAGGTGGTCACTTTTTTTGCATTGTACGTAACATGCATCATGGGCGTGGTAGTGGCTACATGATGAGAACCTTGACAATCCCCGCTTCAAAGCGGTTGGTGCCAGCAGTTCCACCACCAATTCGTGCAGAACACTGTTTGTCCCACTGCATCCCACAGCCATTCTGCACATGTTTGGGGCGTGTGTGGGCAGTGTTGAGTTGGCTTTCTGGGCTCAATTCAAATAAAGCATGCTGCGTTTCAAAGTGCTCATGGATTGCAGACCAGTATTTGTCAAATGTGTCAACACTTGTTTTTTGTTCTGGCACTCACCGCGATACACCGATACACCGCTGTACAAACCCCCCACACACGTAGACAGAAACACATATATATATGCATACATTCCAACGATGTGTGCATGGACACAGGCATATACATGTTTGCATGTGTGCATATGCAGTAGGATGCCTGTTTGGCATTCGCACAGCGACGTCTACATACAGCTTGTGGGCAATCCTACTAATGCATGATAAATTCTCAGTCAAGCAGACGCGTCGTCTTGGTCCCATCGTCCTGTAAGCGCATTGTCGCCTTTTCCCTTGCACGGCACAAAAGCTGGCAGAAACTTAATTGAATGGCAAGGGGGAAGCCAAGCTAGCAGAATGAGTTGCAGTAACAGGCTCAATGGGGTTCATGTCATGCTGGTGTGCTCACACCCTCATTGCCCATGTCTCCAGCAATGCCTCCGGCATGGTTTGTTTGCCATTCCCGATGTCCTTGCCAGAAGCCAGGTGTTGTGACCCCACGCTCTATTCTTCATCATGCATCCAATGATGCAGCCAGCAATGAGACGGACCACAGGTGAACCACTCACGTACATATCAGTGATATGATGTGATATGATGTGATATGATATGATCCTTGACATGCGGCAACACGCTCGTCCTTCGTTGGTTTTCATTCATTTCGACAGGTCGCCCTTGGAGGTGCTGTCAACGCAGGGCGCCCTAACGGGGATTCGAATGAGTCGGAACCAGCTCTCAGGGGAGCCGGGCAAGCAGCAAGCAACGCCTGCGGATGCCTCGCAGAACCTGGAAGTCTCCTGTGGCTTGGGTTTTGAAAACTTGGGAGGGGACCTGGGGCACACCTGCTGCATACTTTGTGCGATGAAACTTGCGTTTCGTCTGGGCAAAATGCAGATCGGCCTGTTTTCGGCTGTGTTGTTCCCAATGAAGTGAGCGTTTTGGCCTAGGCCAAATGCACGGGATGTTTGTTTTTATCAGATAGGTGGCCAGCAATCGCAAACCACCCATTGAGCGAATGGCTGATGAGTGTGGGGCCAGAGCCACAGTTTGGTTGCCTGAGATAATCATACAATGGATTGATCAACTTTCACCGTTGGTTAGCAGTTGGTTTAGCTTCATCCTGGCTTGCAAGGGTGGTGGCCTTGACAAGTCAGCACGATGTGAATTACTTTCACAACATGTTTGTTCACACCTCGTGTCCCAGCTTGCTCCACCCTAACATCCTGATTCCCCAAAACCATGAAGCTCTTTCAACGTTTCCAAGGATGGATCCCAAAGCAAATCCCACTCCAAAGTTCTCCCATGGGGAGAAGCTCGCCTCACTCGCAGCCATTCATGACACCACAACTCCCACTGCATTCGTTCGGCGACTGGGCCCAAGCTACACAACTGCTTGACCACTGCGGATCCCGGGCATCAACCGCCCAGCACGTAGCCAGGATTTGTTGCAAATATCACGAAAAAGGTGCCAATTCGGCCCTTTTGACCCTTTCTGCCCTTTACCAATTGAAGCGTGTGTGCGGTTCTGAGTGGGCGCGCTTGAGCATGTGTGCTTACCATATGGCAGGCGTGTGTGTGTGTGTAGTGGCACTTGGGTGGGTGCGCTTACCATTCGGCTGCGTGTGTGCAGTGCTGAGCGGGTGCGTTGTTTTTTTTGGGGTTGTTGGTGTGTGTGTGTGTGTGCCACACATTGCCACACGCTGCGTTGGCGCGATTGTGCCCTTGCGTTTGTCGCGTGGGCTGCGTCTGCTCTGCAAGGCCATGGAGCTCTAAGAGAGGGTCTGCTTTTCTCTTTGCAGCTGCGTGCGAATTGCTAAACGGGCACGACTGGGAACGCGCAGTCGGACGTATACATGACATGTATCCCACTTCGGGTCGAAAATGGGGGGGGAGTCTGAAAATTTATTTTGCATCCCCCCCCCCCTCCCCAAAACAAAGTGTAAGCGGACCCCTTTCAGGGGTCTATGTCCGTTTTTTTTGCTGGGGTGGGGGGGGGGGGGGGAAATGCAACTTGACACCCGGGCATGTAGAAGTTACATTTTCTCATCCCCCCCAACCAAAAAGTTGATGGACATTTTCACGGATTTCCCTGGGAAGCTTGATAGGGTGGGTCAGGGGAGTCGCAAAAAGAAAGCTGATGATGCTGGAGGGGCAGATGTGGTGCATGCGCAGAGGCTTTTGAAGGCATTGGGGATGACTTGGATTTGTGCGCGGTACCTTGCTTATAGGTCCACCAGCGTCCAAAATCGTTTCATACGTTTTGGCACGTCTCCGCAAAAATGTAATCTTGCATTTTCAGGTAGCAAACCCCAGAAAATGCGAGTACATGTGCATACGTCCGCCCCCCCCCCTCCCCAATGGGGCACTTTGCCTCTAGGGCCACCAAATCTTGAGAATGTTGCTTGCTTGCCACGGACGTCTTGATTTTTGCAAATTTGACGAGGCGGCCTATTGGTGCGCAGCGTAGGCTTCGACATTCTGCCAATGGCGGGCCTGCCTCTATCTTCGAACCGAGTGCCCCACAGAAACGGCTGCGTGGAGTCGGCGGGCCCGGGAAGCGCTGGATTATATGTCTCCGGGTGGTTAAAGCGTGGCCCCACGGGCATCATCGGGTCGAACATCGGGGCTGCCCGGCTCATGGTAAGCTTCGACCCGGCTGCATTGCTGGGTTTGCGTTGCCTGTGCTTTTTGGGGTTGTCCGGGCCTTTAGGCAGAAGTTGCGCAAGCGTGCAAATAGGTAAATTGAATCGAACTTGCAGCAAGGTGGCCAAAGCAGGCGTTCCCCGTCCCCCATTCTTTTTCGGACGTTTCTTTCTGAAGGGGGCCTTCTTTCGGATGCTCTTTTGACTTCAGGATGCTAAAGAAACGGCGGAGAAGGTGTGGAAGGACCTGTCGGAGCAGACAACCAAAGAGTGGTCTGAAGAGCCCCTACAGGCGATGCTCTCGAGCAAGGGCTCCCCAGTGGTGCTCTTTGAGGAGCCTTGGACAAGTTGCAGGCCCAGGCCTGCCGAAGCACACGGGCAACCCTTGAATTTGCGCATTGGATTGGCATCATGGTGATGTGGACCGTTGAACTCAATGCATCTCTTCACTTGTCCTCGAGGGTTGCCCAACATGTGTTGCTTGTGTGTTGGGCCTAGCGTGCTTCCAGATTGACCAAGTCAAGGGTGCATTGCAACAAGCCAGTAAAATCATGGTAGCATCGGCCAACCGTCAAGCGGGGCACGAATCCTGCGATTGCTGAAATTGCCCTGAGTTGATCCCAAACTACCCTGCTTTCCACGAATGTGTTTGCGGTGTGTTTCTCGCTGCTGTTTGATGCCTTCCTGGTGTGATTGGGATGTCTCCCAGGTTTTCTCTGTTGGAGCAAAAAATGATATTTAGTATTTGATTGCCCTGTTCAATTCCCTACTTTTGAAAATGGCGCGCGCTTTCCTTCGCTGGAAGTGTGTGGTTTCCCCATGCGACTTCGAGCGACTCTTAGGACTGGCAGAAGCTCCAGGCGGAGGAGCTGCGGCGGGGGGAGGCTGCGGGGAAGGCCGCGGTGAAGTTTGCGCAGGTGCCGGAGATGTTGGAATTCCTGAGCCTTGGCGTTCGAAGCAGTTCTTGGTGGTTGCTGGTGGTTTTGGGTGTGTTCTTGTTGGTTCTTGTCGGTTGTGGGGTTGGTTGTTGGTTCTTGTTGGTTGTGGTGCTGGCTGTTGTTGCTCTTGTTGGTTGTGGTTTTGTGGTTGGTTGTTGTTGCTTGTGGTTGTCAACGAACAAAAGCTCAACTCGGCAAACTAAGTGCAAGTCCAGAGGTTCAGCGATGAAAGCAACCGAAAAAAACAGAGTTATCATGAATGCTGGATGCCGCAATCCATGGGACAGTTCTTTGTCATCAAAATACAAATCTAAGCAAAGAAAAAGGACACCTAGTGAGTTGCTGTTGTTTTGTTTGTGTTTTTGGGAGGGGGTTCCCGGTTCCCTTTAAGATTGTGTTTTGTTCACGTGTTGTTTCTTCATATGTCAAAACGGCCGAACGGCCGTTTGGCTCAAGTTTTTACCTCCCGTCAAGTGGGAATAGGACTCACGCTCGTGCGCCATTCACTGGCAGCTTTCTTCGTCCTCGAGCCGAAAAGGGTCGGGGCCGCGGGCGGCTGGGTGTAGGAGGTGCTCGGTGAGTCGCGCTGTTCTACTTGGGCTTGGTATTGAACTTAATCCTCTTCAACTTGATTTCTAACCTCCCCATACTTCTCCATTGTCAACCGTCACTTCCTCAACCCGGTCATCATCCACAGCTTCACCCGAGTTGTGTTTCCGGGTGCTTTGGGTACATCGTGATCTACTTTGTGCTCATTTGCTTCCCTGGGCTACTTCGTGTTCGCCCAAAACCGCAGGTTATCAGCCGTAACAGCTAGAAGCTGGGGCTGGTGATCCGGTTGCGGGACGTGACCCGCTACCTGCTCCCATCGCCTACTTGTACGAGCAATGGCGTCCCCCGGAGCTTCTCATCGTGGGCCGGGCTTCGTGGACGACGAGGCCAACGCCCTTCGCGGCAACGCCGCGCCTGCTGCCCCCGGCTTAGACAGCCGGCTGTGGCCCATTCCCCCGATGGTGGGCGCAGAGCCCAATCCCGGGGTGATCACGGACGATTGGATCCTTTCTCAGGTTGTGTTTGATGAGGATGCGGAGGCCCCTATCCCGGCGGCAGTGCTCCAGATCGAGGACGGACCCCCTCTAGAAGAGGCTGAGGTTCCTCCAAATCAGGTGCCCTCATCGATTTCGCCTACTGTTCCGTTCGTGGCGCTCCAGATCGAGGACCGGGCTATCCATCATGCTGCTCATCCGGAGCCGGCTCAATCATGGTCCCTTACATGGGATCAGTTTGACCAACTCCTCGGCAGTGGATCGCAGGCTACACCGCCTGATTTCGGTCGGCTCGACTTTAACTCGGGTGCCCCCGTTTCGGTTGGGAATCTGGATTTTCAATCCCTTTTTGATGCTGATTGGAGGTCTCAGCCTTCCCGAATTGACAGGTCCTTTGATGCCCTGCCGTCGCATGAGCCTACTCAGGGTTTTCCTCATGATGGAGAAAATGACCCCGTTGAAGATTTCTCCCCTTCTCATGTTGCAGGTTCGGCCCAACCCGAGGTGGGCAAACGGGCGATTGAGGATTGGCCGCAAATAGCTGGCCCTCCTCCCGTCTCAGGTTCATCCGACATTGACATCATTCACGATCACCCCAGTCCGGCGGATATGGACTTCATCCCTGATGCAGTATCATCTCACCTGTCAGGTACCCGCGACCGGAATGCGGACCGCTACAACGCTGGTCCGAATCCACCGCTTTCCTCAGGTACCCGAGGTCGGGATGCGAACCGCTACAACGCGGGCTCAAATCCGCCAAATCGGACATCAGGTACTAGTCGATCGGATGCGGGCCGCGAAACAGCAGGCCCAAATCCTTCCTTCTCTTCGTCAAGAAGCCATGCCGGTCTCTTCGCGGCGTTCAATCGGCGTCAGACTCGAAAAGAGTCCGCCCCCGACGTCATCGACCTCGAGGAGCAGTCCAGCCACCGTACCAGTGATGGATCCGAGCAGGATACACCTGGTATTGGCTCTACTCCATTTGACCTCCTCGACATCCCCTTCCATCAGCCACCCAGGAGAGGAAATGAAGATGATGAAACCATTCCTGGAATCCTTGATGTAATCGATGAGGCCGAGGTCACACCAGAGAGACGAACTACATCGCTCCCGCCGAGCCGCGTTGCCAAAGTACTTTCCCCTAAGCCACTCAATGGTGACGTTGCTCAACGGCTTGATCTCACTCAACCTAATCCAGATCAAGCTCAACTTCGCGGATCATCATCATTTGATAATGTGTCGGGACAAACCGGCACTGACTCACGAGCCACAAAGAGGAGCTCTGAGTCACCCGAGAGACGTGAAGCTGCTCTACGACTGCGATCTAATCCCCCAGCTCATCACGATCCTATTGACGTTCCTATACACTCTGCGGGGTCTGGGCTCAGCTCCAACGCCCCGATGTCTGAGAAGGAGACTGATGACGGGATTAACTCTACGCCTAGGAATCGGAGACCTGGTCTTAGCACTATTGCCCCTGGATATGGAGGGCTTCCTTCGAATCAACCGGTCAACGACTCCGTTGTCCCCGCATTCTTTCAAATCGGAACTCCGGGCTGCACTCCCGACAGGGAAGAGAATAGCCGCGGAGATCATGACGCTGATAGTCGTCCTGCTCCGTCTGCTTCCACAAGTGGCGGCCATCCTGTTGCATCTGAGCTTCAACGACTGCTTCTCGCGATCCATAACGAGGTCAAGGGGTGCAAGGCCGAAATCCAGGGATGCAGAGCTGAGATTCGTTCATGTAGGGATGATATCAACGCTTGCGTCGGTGAGATCAAGAAGATCAATAACCGTGTTGACGCCTTCGAGAAGAAAGTTGAATCATCCTTCTCTGCTGTTGCCGGAACTCTCTCAAAACACGAGGCTAAGTTCCGTGATTTCCACGAGTGGGTTGCCCGAAGCGAGAAGGAGATGAATGAGCGTTTCAAGATGTACGATGAGAGATCTAACTCGATCGTCATATCCGCTGCTGAACTTCGCGAGCAGGCCGAATCACTTGAGAACGCCAAGGTCCAGCTTCTTAGGTTTTCTGAGATCGGGGCCCTTGAGGCTGAGGTTCGGAAAATCAAAGACGAAGTTGAGGCGAACTCTCGCAGTGTCATCGACATTGAGGGAACCATCTCAAGAGAAAGAACCATCCGTGGGAACGTCGAGACGTATATCCAGCATCTCGTTCCTGCGACCGACCTGAAGCAGTTCAGTAATAAGGTATCCGGAGCCCTCAATGAGAACTCACAGAAACAGGAAGAATTCAAGCTTCAATTGTCCCGCATTGCTAGATGTGTCAAGGACCTTCATGACAAAAGCTTAGGCCCCAACCCGAGGGACATGCAAGAGCAGTTTATGAAGCTTGTGCTGAGGGTCAATGAGATCAACATGCAGGTCGCTGAATTGAGGGAGCAACCTCTTGCTGCCTGCGGATCCTCAAGTGCTGGCGCTGGTTCGACCGCCGGAACGGGATCATGGGAGAAATCTGGAGACACAGATCCCTTAACCCAGGGAAGGGCTCCTAGAGGTTCTCCTCCTCGTGATGCTCGCACCGTCAGCTCGGCGAGGCCTCCTCCACCTCCACCTCCACCTCCTTCGGGGCCACCCCCACCATCACCATCAGCCCCCATCTTCGGCAGGGATCCCTCTAGAGCGAGGGCCATTGCTCGGGCTGCCGGCGCTGCCCCTGATAACCGGGCCAGGTGTGCTCATGAGGAGCCAGGGCATCCACAGCATCGGGAACCTCGCTATCCATGCCGAAGCTGCGGCAAGTCAGTCTGCGAAGACTGCTTTGACCATGACTGTAACTCATGTTTCAAGTGCAGCGATCAGTTTCCTAGATGCCGCGCATGCAGAGGAAGAGGGGGGAGACACGGACTTGTGAGGTGTCTCATATGCAAGGACGAGTACTGCGATCAACACATCGCTTCGCCTGACGATGTACGTCGTTTTGGGTCGAGTGTTCGACCTATTTGCCTCGGTTGTCTGAGAGCTGATCCCGACGGGAAAACTAAGCATCGCGGCCCCAGCGCGGGGCCTGGAGGACCTGATTGCATTCCTGATCATAATCAGCAGGATGGCACTGCTCCTGATCCTGGATCCGGGCCATCACGTGGAGATCCGTCACATCGGAGTCCTGAACCGCACCAAGGGAATTCTGGTTTCTGTTCCAACGTCGGAGCTGCCGGGCCAATGCCACCAAGGGCAATGTCTTCGCCCGTAGTCGGACGAGCAGTTCCGAGGGGGACCATCAACACATATCCTGGGTGTTCCCCTACGGGGGGGGTTTTCACCGGTCAGGTCGAGCATGGAACATCTCAGGGAATCATTCGCGGGAGATATGGATCTGACGCTGCTGTGACAAATCAGCAGAATTCACAGCATCACCAGGGAGCACAGAATAACTCTGGCGGTTCGAATGGCTTCTCTCTTCCACCAGGACTCGATAAGGGTGTGCATGGCGCCAGTGGTGTCGGCGGTATTGGAGCTCCCGATCTCCGCCGATCCTCCGCTGAGGAGAGGGTCTGCCCTCGATGCAACATCAATGTCAAGACCAGCATTCCCGGGACGCCCCCATGCTTCCAAACATGTTCGTTGTGCCGCACTTCATTATGTGCCGCGTGCTGCCCGCCATCATCCGGGAGTTGCTCTCTATGTGCCATATCCATTGGCCGAGATGGCGTTTTACCTCCTCACGTTTTTGGACAGGCTACTCGACCACCCTTAACCTCGTTGCCGTCCGAGGCGAACAAGTGCGCTAACATTGAGCTCGAAAAAGAGCCTGCACCGCATGAGTTGCGAGACTGGATCATTTCCACGAGAGAAATTGTGAGCAACGCATTCAGCTATGACTCGCCATATGCCATGTCTTGGGTCATGAGTGTCGAGAACGCCAGCGCAATAGAGGAACTTGATGAGGAGTGCCTCTACCCGATCCTTGACAATAGGTTCAATGCTGCGCTGAG